TTTGCAATAAGGCACTAAAGTAATATTGCAAAAAATTTGGCTAAGAAATTAACTTTTTGTCCTGAATACAAAGCAGTGGTGTAAAAAGTACCCATCTGTCATACTTGAGTAAAAGTAAAGATACTTTTATAGAAAATTACTCAAGTAAAAGTGAAAGTCACCCAGTAAAATACTACTTGAGTAAAAGTCTAAACGTATTTGGTTTTAAATATACTTAAGAACAAAAGTAAATGTTATTGCTAAAATATACTTAAGTATCAAAAGTAAAAGTAGAAATAATAATACATCTACACATTATACTCCTGTCTTTAGACTATCATTTACACATTATAGTCTTTAGACTATCATCTACACATTATAGCCCTGTCTTTAGACTATCATCTACACATTATAGTCCTGTCTTTAGACTATCATCTACACATTATACTCCTGTCTTTAGACTATCATCTACACATTATACTCCTGTCTTTAGACTATCATCTACACATTATAGTCCTGTCTTTAGACTATCATCTACACATTATACTCCGTCTTTAGACTATCGTCTACACATTATAGTCCTGTCTTTAGACTAACATCTACACATTATAGTCCTGTCTTTAGACTATCATCTACACATTATACTCCTGTCTTTAGACTATCGTCTACACATTATAGTCTTTAGACTATCATCTACACATTATAGTCCTGTCTTTAGACTATCATCTACACATTATAGTCTTTAGACTATCATCTACACATTATACTCCTGTCTTTAGACTATTGTCTACACATTATACTCCTGTCTTTAGACTATCGTCTACACATTATAGTCTTTAGACTATCATCTACACATTATAGTCTTTAGACTATCATCTACACATTATAGTCCTGTCTTTAGACTATCATCTACACATTATACTCCTGTCTTTAGACTATCGTCTACACATTATACTCCTGTCTTTAGACTATCATCTACACATTATAGTCCTGTCTTTAGACTATCATCTACACATTATACTCCTGTCTTCAGACTATCATCTACACATTATAGTCCTGTCTTTAGACTATCATCTACACATTATAGTCATGTCTTTAAACTATCATCTACACATTATTCTCCTGTCTTTAGACTATCATCTACACATTATACTCCTGTCTTTAGACTATCGTCTACACATTATAGTCCTGTCTTTAGACTATCGTCTACACATTATAGTCTTTAGACTATCATCTACACATTATAGTCCTGTCTTTAGACTATCATCTACACATTATACTCCTGTCTTTAGACTATTGTCTACACATTATAGTCCTGTCTTTAGACTATCATCTACACATTAGTCTTTAGACTATCATCTACACATTATACTCCTGTCTTTAGACTATCGTCTACACATTATACTCCTGTCTTTAGACTATCGTCTACACATTATACTCCTGTCTTTAGACTATTGTCTACACATTATAGTCCTGTCTTTAGACTATCATCTACACATTATAGTCCTGTCTTTAGACTATCATCTACACATTATACTCCTGTCTTTAGTCCTGTCTTTAGACTATCATCTACACATTATTCTCCTGTCTTTAGACTATCATCTACACATTATACTCCTGTCTTTAGACTATCGTCTACACATTATAGTCCTGTCTTTAGACTATCGTCTACACATTATAGTCTTTAGACTATCATCTACACATTATAGTCCTGTCTTTAGACTATCATCTACACATTATACTCCTGTCTTTAGACTATCGTCTACACATTATAGTCCTGTCTTTAGACTATCATCTACACATTATAGTCTTTAGACTATCATCTACACATTATACTCCTGTCTTTAGACTATCGTCTACACATTATACTCCTGTCTTTAGACTATTGTCTACACATTATAGTCCTGTCTTTAGACTATCATCTACACATTATAGTCCTGTCTTTAGACTATCATCTACACATTATAGTCCTGTCTTTAGACTATCGTCTACACATTATAGTCCTGTCTTTAGACTATCATCTACACATTATAGTCCTGTCTTTAGACTATCATCTACACATTATACTCCTGTCTTTAGACTATCGTCTACACATTATACTCCTGTCTTTAGACTATCGTCTACACATTATACTCCTGTCTTTAGACTATCGTCTACACATTATACTCCTGTCTTTAGACTATCATCTACACATTATACTCCTGTCTTTAGACTATCGTCTACACATTATAGTCTTTAGACTATCATCTACACATTATACTCCTGTCTTTAGACTATCGTCTACACATTATAGTCCTGTCTTTAGACTATCGTCTACACATTATAGTCTTTAGACTATCATCTACACATTATACTCCTGTCTTTAGACTATCGTCTACACATTATAGTCCTGTCTTTAGACTATCATCTACACATTATAGTCTTTAGACTATCATCTACACATTATACTCCTGTCTTTAGACTATCGTCTACACATTATACTCCTGTCTTTAGACTTTCGTCTACACATTATACTCCTGTCTTTAGACTATTGTCTACACATTATAGTCCTGTCTTTAGACTATCATCTACACATTATAGTCCTGTCTTTAGACTATCATCTACACATTATAGTCCTGTCTTTAGACTATCATCTACACATGATAGTCCTGTCTTTAGACTATCATCTACACATTATAGTCCTGTCTTTAGACTATCATCTACACATTATAGTCCTGTCTTTAGACTATCATCTACACATTATAGTCCTGTCTTTAGACTATCATCTACACATTATAGTCCTGTCTTTAGACTATCATCTACACATTATAGTCCTGTCTTTAGACTATCATCTACACATTATAGTCCTGTCTTTAGACTATCATCTACACATGATAGTCCTGTCTTTAGACTATCATCTACACATTATAGTCCTGTCTTTAGACTATCATCTACACATTATACTCCTGTCTTTAGACTATCATCTACACATTATACTCCTGTCTTTAGACTATCATCTACACATTATAGTCCTGTCTTTAGACTATCGTCTACACATTATACTCCTGTCTTTAGACTATCATCTACACATTATACTCCTGTCTTTAGACTATCATCTACACATTATACTCCTGTCTTTAGACTATTGTCTACACATTATAGTCCTGTCTTTAGACTATCATGTACACATTATAGTCCTGTCTTTAGACTATCATCTACACATTATACTCCTGTCTTTAGACTATCGTCTACACATTATAGTCCTGTCTTTAGACTATCATCTACACATTATACTCCTGTCTTTAGACTATCGTCTACACATTATAGTCCTGTCTTTAGACTATCATCTACACATTATAGTCCTGTCTTTAGACTATCATCTACACATTATACTCCTGTCTTTAGACTATCGTCTACACATTATAGTCCTGTCTTTAGACTATCATCTACACATTATAGTCCTGTCTTTAGACTATCATCTACACATTATAGTCCTGTCTTTAGACTATCATCTACACATTATACTCCTGTCTTTAGACTATCATCTACACATTATACTCCTGTCTTTAGACTATCATCTACACATTATAGTCCTGTCTTTAAACTATCATCTACACATTATAGTCCTGTCTTTAGACTATCGTCTACACATTATACTCCTGTCTTTAGACTATCATCTACACATTATACTCCTGTCTTTAGACTATCATCTACACATTATACTCCTGTCTTTAGACTATCATCTACACATAATAGTTACTGGAGGAACGCTTCTCTCTATCTATAGTCTGCCTTGGTTAACAGAGAGACAAGGTGCCCCAGACGAAGAAGCTTTCTCTGAGGTAGGATAATACGACGGCCTCCCAGGTCCCCGTCTCTACTCCCAATCCCACCCTCAGCTCCTCCTTGCCCACCTATATAGAGGAAGACACAAAGTAATTAGTGGGCCCAGCTGTGTGCTAATTGGCTTTACACTGAGTCCCTATCCCCTGAGGAGGGTGCTGTCGTGTCGTCTTCCTCCGGCTGGTCACTGAACTCTCACACCTGCTAAACATTCTAAATGTAACGAGTACTTTTGGGTGTCAGGGGAAAAGTATGGAGTAAAAAGTACATTATTTTATTTAGGAATGTAGTGGAGTAAAAGTAAAAGTGTCAAAAGTATAAATAGTAAAGTAAAGTACAGATACACCAAAAAACTACTTAAGTAGTACTTTAAAGTATTTTTACCTAAGTACTTTACACCACTGATACAAAGCCTTATGTTTGGGGCAAATCCAACACAACACATCACTGAGTACCACTCTTCATATTTTCAAGCATGGTGGTGGCAGCATCATGTTATGGGTATGCTTATCATCGATAAGGACTAGGGAGTTTTTAGGATAAAAAGAAAAGGAATAGCGCTAAGCACAGGCAAAGTCCTAGAGGAAAACCTGGTTCAGTCTGCTTTCCAACACATTGAATGTTCCTGGCGGGCCTAGTTACAGTTTTGAATTAAATCGGCTTGAACATCTATGGCAAGACTTGAAAATTGCTGTCTAGCAATGATCAACAACCAACTTGACAGAGCTTGAAGAATTTAAAAAAGAATAATGGGCAAATATTGTACAATCCAGGTTAGCAAAGCTCTTACTCAGAAAGACTCACAGCTGTAATGGATTGACTCAGGGGGTTGAATACTTATCTAATCAAACAATATATTATTGTTTTATTTTGCATTAATAAATAAAAAATGTTAGAATTTGTCCTCCACTTTGACCTTACAGAGTATTTTGTGTAGATCGTTGAAACAAATGACAATTAAATCCATTTTAATCCCACTTCGTAACGGAACAAAATGTGGAAAAAGTCAGGGGGTGTGAATACTTTCTGAATGCACTGTAGGTCTATTAGAGAGAGATGATAGGCTGGGTATCTGTAAAGCACTTTGTGACAGCTGTTGATGTATTTAGGGCTTAATCAAATACAATTGATTTATTTGTTGATTATATTACAGAGACATAATAGTTATTTTCACTTTCAGGAAATTAAAGTGAGAGAGGATGGGCAACAGCCACTCAGAGCAGGAGCAACAGCCCGAGAAAAGCCTCGGGAGGGGCGACATTGAGAAGGGAAAACCGAAAGAGACAGAAAAGACCAACACCAAGGTTTCCACCCCTTTCTCTCCCACCCCCAAGCTCTTATCCCCTGTGCCACCCAGTCAGTTCAAGGGCATCCCAGACTTCACTGTGAACATGGGGCAAGCTTCTCTATGCCCACTGCAGGCGACCCTGTCTCTATCAAGTCTCTCCACAGAGAGCCCAATGAGCATGCAGGCTATTCCTACCCCCTCCTCTCCTTCCTGGCATACCCCTATAAGACCCCCTCGCCCATCCCAGTCCACATCTTCACCAAAACCTCATCCACAGGGCCCATCGCAGGAGGCAGCCTGGGCCCCCAACCCACAGCCAATACAGCAGAGACCAGCACCAGTGGCCCCCAACCCTCAGCCAATACAGCAGAGACCAGCACCAGTGGCCCCCAACCCACAGCCATCACAGCAGAGACCAGCACCAGTGGCCCCCAACCCACAGCCAACACAGCAGAGACCACCAGTGGCCCAACTCAGCATTACAGCAGATGACACACCAGGGCCCCACCACAGCCTCACACGAGACCAGCACCAGGCCCCAAACCCCAGGATCACAGCAGAACAGCACCAGTGGCCCAACCCACAGCATCACAGGAGACATGCAGGAAACAGTAAAAGGCTTCCCTTAGGTCTCCTCATAACACCAGCACCCCTAGTGGTGACACTGGCAACAACAAGGTCACAACCGGCAGCACTGAGAATAGAAAGAGTTTACCCATAGCACCACCCACTGCTACTACTAAACCCATAGCACCACCACTGCTATACTAAACCTGCACACCCTCCCCCCCCACTAACTAGCACCACCCACTGCTACTACTAAACCCATAGCACCACCCACTGCTACTACTAAACCATAGCACCACCCTGCTACTACTAAACCCATAGCACCACCCACTGCTACTACTAAACCCATAGCACCACCCACTGCTACTACTAAACCCATAGCACCACCCACTGCTACTACTAAACCCATAGCACCACCCACTGCTACTACTAAACCCATAGCACCACCCACTGCTACTACTAAACCCATAGCACACCCACTGCTACTACTAAACCCATAGCACCACCCACTGCTACTACTAAACCCATAGCACCACCCACTGCTACTACTAAACCCATAGCACCACCCACTGCTACTACTAAACCCATAGCACCACCCACTGCTACTACTAAACCCATAGCACCACCCACTGCTACTACTAAACCCATAGCACCACCCACTGCTACTACTAAACCCATAGCACCACCCACTGCTACTACTAAACCCATAGCACCACCCACTGCTACTACTAAACCCATAGCACCACCCACTGCTACTACTAAACCAGCGAGGAGGCTTAGAGAGCCAATTAAGGTTAGGAGACCTGACGGAACACCTATTAGTTATGATGAACTGAAGGCTGGACTTCCAGAGACAGAGAAAACCAGCACCCCTAGTGGTGACACTGGCAACAGGAACAAGGGCACAACCAGCAGCACTGAGAATAAAGACAAACCCTCTGGTTCTCTCAAAGTGCCTCCAAACTTTGTGCTCTCTAAAAAGATTCTGAAAAAGATTGAGCATAGGTGAGTCCCTGGTTTGTCCTCCGTCTGTCTGTCCCTTTGTCTGTATATATGTCTGTCTGTCTGTCTCTGTCTGCCTGTCTATCTATCTGTCTCTGTATCTGTCTGTCTTTCAAATCAAATCAAATTTTATTTGTCACATGCGCCGAATACTACACGTGTAGACCTTACCGTGAAATGCTTCCTTACAAGCCCTTAACCAACAATGAAGTTTTAAGAAAATAGATTTAAGAAAATATTTACTAAATAAACGAAAGTAAAATAAAATAAAAAGTAACACAATAAAATAACAATAACAAGGCTATATACAGGGGGTACCGGTACCGAGTCAATGTGAGGTCATTTGTACATGTAGGTAGGGGTAAAGTGACTATGCATAGATAATAAACAGCGAGTAGCAGCAGTGTAGAAATAAGGGGTGGGGGGGGGAGTCAATGTAAATAGTCCAGGTAGCCATTTGATTAATTGTTCAGCAGTCTTATGGCTTGGGGGTAGAAGCTGTTGAGAAGTCTTTTGGACCTAGACTTGGCACTCCGGTACCGTTTGCCGTGCAGTAGCAGAGAGAACAGTCTATGACTAGGGTGGCTGGAGTCTTTGACAATTTTGGGGGGCCTTCCTCTTGTCACGATCGTCTACCAATGAGGAGGACCAAGGCGCAGCGTTGAATGCGAACATTTTATTTTATCAAGATGATCACACGATCAAAACAACAAAAACGAAACGTGACGTCCCTGGTTACATAAACCAACAAACACGGAACAAGAAACCACAAACACAAAGTGAAAAGACCGACAGTTAAATATGGCTCCCAATCAGAGACAACCAGCTGACACTCGTTGCCTCTGATTGGGAGTCACTCAGGCCAACATAGATATACAAACATAGACTTACACACCCTGGCTCAACATAACATAGTCCCCAGAGCCAGGGCGTGACAGTACCCCCCCCCAAAGGCGCGGACTCCGACCGCGCCAAACAACCACAACAGGGGAGGGACCGGGTGGGCACTCCGCCTCGGCGGCGGATCCGGCTCCGGACATGACCCAGGCACGGGTTGTGCTGGACTGACGATGCGCACCCCTGGCTTGGTGCGTGGAGGAGGAACGGGCCTTACCAGGCTGACGACGCACACCGTAGGCTTGGTGCGTGGAGCAGGGACAGGCCGGACTGGGCTGACGAAGCACACCACTGACTTGGTGCGGGGAGCAGGAACGGGCCGGACCGGGCTGACGAAGCGCACCCCTGACTTGGTGCGGGGAGCAGGAATGAGCCGGACCGGGCTGGCGACGCGCACCACTGACTTGGTGCGGGGAGCTTGGATGGGCCGGACTGGGCTGGCGACGCGCACCACCGACTTGGTGCGGAGAGCAGGAACGGGCCGGACAGGGCTGACGAAACGCACCACAGACTTGGTGCGGGGAGCAGGAATGGGCCGGACTGGGCTGGCGATGCGCACCACAGACTTGGTGCGGAGAGCAGGAACGGGCCGGACAGGGCTGGTGACGCGCACCACAGACTTGGTGCGGGGAGCAGGAATGAGCCGGACCGGGCTGACGACGCGCACCACTGACTTGGTGCGGGGAGCTTGGATGGGCCGGACTGGGCTGGCGACGCGCACCACAGACTTGGTGGGAGTGGCAGGAACAGGCCGGCCCGTACTGGGAACACACACCACTGGCCCTACGTGGGGATCAGGAACAGGCCGGACCGGACTGGCAACACACGCCAGTACCTCTCGCCGTGCCTCTACAACCTCCTTCCCCCTGGTGACCAGTGACTCCCGTAACCTGGCGGCCTCCTCTGCCAACCCGCTGGACCGCTCTATCGCGGCCTCCTGCTGCACCAACGTCGTGAGCCCCCCCCTAAAAAATTTCTGGGGGTCTCTCCTCCCCGTGGGCCAGGCCTCCATCGTTCTCGCCAGACTCTCACCCCACTGCTCCAAAGTCCAACCTCTCTCCTCTTCTCTTGGCTTGGCCCAGTCGAGACTCCTACTCCACTGCTCCCAAGTCCATCCTCTCTCTTCTTCACGCTGCTTGGTCCTGTTATGGTGGTTTCTTCTGTCACGATCGTCTACCAATGAGGAGGACCAAGGCGCAGCGTTGAATGCGAACATTTTATTTTATCAAGATGATCACACGATCAAAACAACAAAAACGAAACGTGACGTCCCTGGTTACATAAACCAACAAACACGGAACAAGAAACCACAAACACAAAGTGAAAAGACCGACAGTTAAATATGGCTCCCAATCAGAGACAACCAGCTGACACTCGTTGCCTCTGATTGGGAGTCACTCAGGCCAACATAGATATACAAACATAGACTTACACACCCTGGCTCAACATAACATAGTCCCCAGAGCCAGGGCGTGACACCTCTGACACTCTGCCTGGTATAGATGTCCTGGATGGCAGGAAGCTTGGCCCCAGTGATGACCTGGGCTGTACGCACTACCCTCTGTAGCGCCTTACGATCAGATGCTGAGCAGTTGCCATACCAGGCGGTGATGCAACCGGTCAGGATGCTCTCGATGGTGCAGCTGTATAACTTTTTGAGGATCTGGGGACCCATGCCAAATCTTTTCAGTCTCCTGAGGGGGAAAAGGCGTTGTCGTGCCCTCTTCACAACTGTCTTGGTGTGTTTGGACCATGATAGTTTGTTGGTGATGTGGACAACAAGGAACTTGAAACTATCGACCCGCTCCACTACAGCCCCGTCGATGTGAATGGGGGCGTGTTGGGCCCTCCTTTTCCTGTAGTCCACGATCAGCTCCTTTGTCTTGCTCACATTGAGGGAGAGGTTGTTGTCCTGGCATCACACTACCAGGTCTCTGACCTCCTCCCTATAGGCTGTCTCATTGTTGTCGGTGATCAGGCCTACCACTGTTGTGTCGTCAGCAAACTTGATGATGGTGTTGGAGTCATGCTTGGCCACGCAGTCGTGGGTGAACAAGGAGTAGAGGAGGGGACTGAGCACGCACCCCTGAGGGGCCCCCGTGTTGAGGATCAGTGTGGCGGATGTGTTGTTACCTACCCTTACCACCTGGGGGCGGCCCGTCAGGAAGTCCAGGATCCAGTTGCAGAGGGAGGTGTTTAGTCCCAGGGTTCTTAGCTTAGTGATGAGCTTTGTGGGCACTACGGTGTTGAACGCTGAGCTGTATTCAATGAACAGCATTCTCACATAGGTGTCCCTCCATCTGTCTCTCTGTCTGTATATCTGTCTGTCTAGCTGTATGTCTGTCCTTCTGTCTATCTGTCTGTCTAGCTGTCTGTCTGTCCCTCTGTATATCTGTCTGTCTAGCTGTCTGTCTGTCCCTCTGTATATCTGTCTGTCTAGCTGTCTGTCTGTCCCTCTGTCTATCTGTCTGTCTAGCTGTCTGTCTGTCTATCTGTCTGTCTAGCTGTCTGTCTGTCCCTCTGTCTATCTGTCTGTCTAGCTGTCTGTCTGTCCCTCTGTCTATCTGTCTGTCTATCTGTCTGTCTAGCTGTCTGTCTGTCCCTCTGTATATCTGTCTGTCTAGCTGTCTGTCTGTCCCTCTGTCTATCTGTCTGTCTCACAGGAGGTTGGTGGAACCTTAATCGATCCCCGGGACCACCCAAACGTAAAAATGTATATGTATAAGCGTCTACTAAATGGCATATTATTATTATTATTATTATTAATTGGGGAGGACAGACTCGTGGTAATGGTTGGAGCGGAATCAGTGGTACGGTATCAAATACATCAAACATGGTTTCCAGGTGTTTGATGCCATTCCATTTGCTCCGTTCCAGCCATTATTATGAGCCGTCCTCCCCTCAGCAGCCTCCACTGGTCTGTATGTCCCTCTGTCTATCTATCTGTCTGTCTGTCTGCTTGGTTTTCGAGATTCCTAGTACATTATGTGATTTGACCACGAGACTGAAGATGGGTGGGGTATAAAAATCAGTGGTGGAACAATTACCCATCTATCATACTTGAGTAAAGTAAAGATTCCTTCATAGAAAATGACTCAAGTAAAACTGAGACACCCAGTAAAATACTACTTGAATGAAAGTCTAAAAGTATTTGGTTTTAAATATACTTAAGTATCAAAAGTCAATTGAATTGCTAAAATATACTTAAGTATCAAAAGTAAAAGTATAAATCATTTCAAATTCCTTATATTAAGCAAACCAGACAGCACAATGTCCTTGTTTTTTAAATTTACAGATAGCCAGGGGCACACTCCAACACTCAGACATAATTTACAAATGAAGCATGTGTTTAGTGAGTCGGCCAGATCAGAGGCAGTAGGGATAATCAGGGATGTTTACATTTACATTTTAGTCATTTAGCAGACGCTCTTATCCAGAGCCACTTACAGTTAGTCAGTGCATACATTTTCATACTGGCCCCCCGTTGGAATCGAACCCACAACCCTGGCGTTGCAAACGCCATGCTCTACCAACTGAGCTACACGGGACTCTGTGTGTGTGTGTGTGCGTGCGTGCGTGCGTGCGTGCGTGCGTGCGTGCGTGCGTGCGTGCGTGCGTGCGTGCGTGCGTGCGTGCGTGCGTGCGTGCGTGCGTGCGTGCGTGCGTGCGTGCGTGCGTGCGTGCGTGCGTGCGTGCGTGCGTGCGTGCGTGCGTGCGTGCGCACATACAACATTTTTGGGTGCATTTTCCAATTTGTTAGGTGCATAATCCTAACAGGGTGGAACCTAACAGGGTTGACATTTGATTTTGAGCCTAACTTGGCCATAGCTCTGAGTAAGCAAGATTGAGCTAGCATATTGGTGAACACTTGAACAGGATTTTAACTTCTCTATCAAACACATTTTAACATGTTTATTCTCTATAATTTAGCCTAACATGAAACATTTACAAATAGATCAAACTGAGTGTTTATATTTATTTAGCTTTGCACCATAGTTTTCCCACCAAATATATTATGACACTTCCTGAATGTGGTGTCATTGTAGTAAGGGGTTGTTTTCTTAAATGGAGAATTACAACAAACTATAATATAATATGCCATTTAGCAGACGCTTTTATCCAAAGCAACTTACAGTCATGCGTGCATACATTTTTGTGTATGGGTGGTCCCGGGGATCGAACCCACTACCTTGGCGTTACAAGCGCCGTGCTCTACCAGCTGAGCTGGTCCACTAACAGGGTGGAAAGTGATATCAGGGACACACTGGGGACATGGCATAAACACCTACAAAAAGTGTTTAAAATTCACTTTCAGGATCCATCTTTTGGTGTTGTTACGGTAAAGGACACCTGACGTTATATTTTAAACCTTTTGGAATCCACATTTTCACGACATTAGAACTGATATTTCCTGGGGCCAGAAAAGGCATTGCATTGTAGGAATGACCCAGCTAACGTTCGCTAGTTAGCATTGTGTTGTTCTCTTGATAAGTGTGGGAATTGGACCATTTTCCTGTCTTGCTAAGAATTGAAAATGGAACGAGTACTTTTGGGAGTCAGGGAATATGTATGGAGTAAAAAGTACATTATTTTATTTAGCAATGTAATGAAGTAAAAGTAGTCAAAAATATAAATAGTAATGTACAGATAACCACAAAAACGACTTAAGTAGTACTTTAAAGTATTTTTACTTAAGTACTTTAGACCCCTGATAAAAATGGTTTTAATACATATTTTTACTACTACATAAGTGCATTTTTGGTGTAGTTTGTGTATAGGGGTCAGTCAGGTTGTCATGTTCCCCAATCCCCTCCCTCCTCAGGATGGAGTATGTGAAGAAGCAGGAGAGTCTGCCTCCTGCTCCCACCCCCCTGAGGCAGGCTGCAGTCAGGGCAGCTCTGAACGGAGTGGTTCCACACCTTAAGCCTGCTCACAGAGAGGCCAAGGCCCAGAAAGGCAAGACCTCAAAGTCAGACGATGACTTCAACACTGCTGCCCAGACAATACAGCCAGCATGCCAGCCACAAAACAACCCAGAGCCTGCTAGCAAACCAGACAAACCACCTGGAACTTTAGCAGCACCCGTCCCAAACAACTTCTCCTTTTCTCTGGGGACTACCACACCTTCAGCACAAACCCAGAAAGAGAAACCGTCTAAAACCCAACCTCAGGCTCAGACTAAAGCAGCCCCTGAGGCTCAGGGGGCTGGTAGCACCCCGAGTGGTGGCACCACGAGCGGCACCGGTAAACCAGCGGGAACAGGAAGCAGCAGCCGGCTCACCTTCTCTCCCTACTCTGTGTGCGGGCGTTTCCAGGCTGCCAGACTGAGGCTGAAGCAGATGAGAGAGGACAGGTCCAGGGCTCAGCCAGCAGAGGGCAGCAGAGAGGACAGGTCCAGGGCTCAGCCAGCAGAGGGCAGCAGAGAGGACAGGTCCAGGGCTCAGCCAGCAGAGGGCAGCAGAGAGGACAGGTCCAGGGCTCAGCCAGCAGAGGGCAGCAGAGAGGACAGGTCCAGGGCTCAGCCAGCAGAGGGCAGCAGAGAGGACAGGTCCAGGGCTCAGCCAGCAGACGGCAGCAGAGAGGACAGGTCCAGGGCTCAGCCAGAAGACGGCAGCAGAGAGAACCAGCTCTCTACAGAGCTACTCAGAGCTTCACCTCGAGCTCCAGCTCAACCTCTCACACCAACACCAGCTTCAGCACCACCACGACCCCTCACACCAACACCAGCTTCAGCACCACCACGACCCCTCACACCAACACCAGCCCTAAGCCGATATCGAGGCCCTATCACCACCAAGCAGGGACAGAAGCTCTCAAGAGGACAGGCAGAAGCCAGAGCCACTACAGAGAGCAATAAACAGCCAGAGCCCAAACCCTCTACAGAGGAAGCATCAGGATTCACTATGACACACTACACTGACTGGCACCTGTCCAATGCCCAGTGGCCCATGTTCGACGAGGCAACACAGCTGATGGAGAGGTTTCAGAAGTACTCTAATGAGTTCCATTATCCTGATGGCTTCTCTACGTTCAGCATGTCTACAACACTGGGCAGCAAGGTGACGCTGAGGGAGGTGGATGATCCTACAGAGGTAGACACAGCCTTCGAGGAGTGGTACAGTGGCATGAACCCCTTCACACCTAAAACTACTAACCCCTCCACAGCTACTACTACTACTAACCCATCCACAGCTACTACTGCTGCCATACCCACTACCCAGTTACTACAAGCCTCAGACCACAAACCCCCTGCAGACCCCACAGCACCTAAAGTGTCCAACCCCCCAGCCTCTCCACCCAGGTCCAGGAAGAAACAGAAACAAGCAGTGTCTCAGTCCAAGAATAAAGAGGAGGAAATGGAGGATATCCCACCAGCCTCTCCTCTGTCTCCCAACTGCCCTCCCCGCCCATCAGGCCGCTGGCACCCGTTCATGGTGGACAAATTCTGCTCGCGTCATGCCCGCTGCCAGCACCGTGCCACTAATTCAGCGCTGCCACCCAACGTCACCAAGTGGTGAGTCACACCAACACACTCCAACCTAGCTAACTCATCCCCCGTGAGTGAAGTTTGATATAACACTATCGATATGAATGTGTCAAGCTATGGTACCAGGTCATGTAGGAAAGAAAATATCCTGTTCCATTCCTATACTAGCTTGATCATTTCTAGTCCCCCAGTGAAGAAAGTCAACCCGTCTCTTCTCTGTCTTCCTCTCCCATCAGGTTGAACGTGAGCAGGAACTACCTGTGCGAGCCTCCCTGGGTCACCACGGCAACCCTAGCCACCTCCCTAGCGCTGCGAGAGCGAGGAGAGACGCACCAGTGACAACACATGCTCATTCACCAATACTGGAGTCACACTAGCTATGTGTTTAGGAAATATTTATACTACATGAAACTGATCTTCAAAATAAAGCATGGATTAAATAATCTAATTGAGTAATATAGTAATGTTAAATTACCTGTTAAAGTACACTTCAAATTATAAAGTAGACCACAAGTCAGAAAAAGATTTTAATATTTTAAATGTCAAAATGTTGATAATCTTACAGAAACAAACATTTGTATTTTCCAGATCAATTAGATTACAAACCATTGAGGGGGAGGGGGGGGGGGGCAAGAAATTAAACCAAACATTTAACAAATACTTTTACAGCAATTCTTTGTCAGTTGCTAGGAGACGAGGCCAGGGCATTGAAATAGACTTCTGTGAGCACTAGAGTAAAAAAAAAAAAATACCTCAGAGGACAAGGATAACCCAAATACCAGGTGTAATGCAGGATGTCAACCATTTAGAGACATGGAAGACTCACTATATGGCCACTGTTTTGCAGCACACTATGCATTAGTAAATGGACAGGGAAAATCTCAAATTACACCCTATTCCCCTAGACACAAACTCTCCAAACGTTCACATCAAGTTCCTCAATGCAGTTAGGGTAAATGGAAACTTGGCCATTAGAATGTGCCAACACTTCAATCTTTAAACTCAGGGTAATTCCCAAAGGTGGACAAAGCTGTCAGGAGCCACGGAACAGACTGGCCTTAGTTGTGAAGTGATGCCACAACTTTATTTCAGTACATTACTCCGATGTGTAAACATACGGTCAGACTAGAGGATGTAGAAACACTCATGCCCAGTCTCTTATCAGAGCCGTGAGAAGCAGGGGGAGTGGAAGAGAACAAAAGTGTTGGAAAATCTACCAGTCTGACAATCTGTATGTCTGCATGTGTCTGGGTCTGGGTCTAAGGTGTCAGATGAATATAGCGAGCGTCTGCAGTATGATGCTCTCTCTAAACAATCATCTCCAGCTGCCGAGCGTATTCGATGACCTGCGTAGCCAGCTCAGTGGAGGGGATGTTGACTTCCTCTGTCCTCTGCTGTTGGCTGCTGAACGAGTAGTAGTCGTCTGGGCTCTGGGTCCAGCCCCGCTGCAAAACACACACAACTTTAATATATGATGAGGCTCTGGGTCCAGCCCCGCTGGACTAAACTCAAGTTCTACGGATCTCCCATTCTCTCAAATCCAGGGGCATGATCAGTTAGCCCGGTCCCAGATCTGTTTGTGCTGTAAAGCCGACTCTTATGTCAAGCACAAACAGATCTTGGACCAGGCTAGTGTTCAGTAGGGCACACAACAGAGTAGAACGGACATGAACTAACCTTCTTGGCATACTCTGTCATGTTGTTCGGGGAGGAGAAGAAGAGCACTCTGGTAGCTTCGTTGAACTGGATCTGTTCATACGCCTTCTCTATGCACCCAGCAATCTCATCACTGGAAACAAGACGGATAACAAATCACACCATGCCATCGCTGGACCACAAGGACGACTCACCGAATCCATGCATCTGCCATTTCCAGGCAATATGAATTCATCCCATGTCAGAAGTCATGCTGTCTCTTACCGGATGGTGTCTAGCAGAATGTCTATGAAGAAGGTGTAGCTCTCAGCAGGGATGTTCCCTTTGGCCAGAAACACCTTGTTGTAGCTCCCCTCCATCAGGTACTGACAGGAAAAACAGACATTATACAAGCCAGTTCTACACATGGGAAGTTACATGGCTCCACAAAGATAAAACTGAGAAGAGATGAGAACCAGCGAAGAAGTTCCTGTTGAAAATAGTAAAAGTAAGAAGTCAACGAAGGGAGATGAGGCACACGTCTGAAGCGGCGGCAGTCACCTGCTCTAGGGAGACGGGGTGTCGGATGTATACGTTGGTCTGGATGTCTTTAGCAGTCAGCCTCTCCAGCTCCGTGTGGAACTCTGACACACGGTTCTGGGACAGCAGGAAGAGCAGGTTCAGACCCAGCAGCTGGTGCATGTAAGATGACTCTGGCAACTCATCCCTGGATGGAAGATGAAGAGTGGGAGAAAACTGATCTAGTTGACTACTGAACAAGCATAGGTTGACATGCTCTGGGAATACATTGAGAAAGACCAGTATTATTTTGAATATGAAACAAGTGACATTACTTGTAATCAAAGTAATAGCATTTCAGCTGGGACATGTATCTCTCAAAGGAGGGGATGTCCTTCTTCAGGATACCCCACAGAGCCCCGATCTCCAGAACATCACCTGACAAACAATGTAGAAATATGTTAGCCACTGTTGTCATCCAGCTCATATGATCAAACCCTGATATATCCTAGTTATCACACACTGAAATTATGCAGCTGATTCTGAGCAATGACTCCGGAAGTCCTTTCTATTGACAAGCACACAGGAAGACATGTCAACAAAAAACGAGGCAGCTAGCCTCTTCGCTCCGGGAGACCTGTACACAGACCTCCCGTCGCTGAAGACGACATCCCGTACCCCAAAAACATATTTACCAGCCCTTCACGCCCATGTGGGTGCTAGTAAGCAGGCTAGGTAGTTCTAGGTATAAACAGCCAATCCAGCAGGGTCTGGAAGCTCTAGTGAGCTTCTATTGGTCAATAACGTTGCGATAGAGTATTTGCATAAAGTTAATCTTTCCCAGAGAGGCCCAACTCAGCGGAAAACGCTCTCCCTCCAGCAGGTGGCGTATTTTCATTGTTTCGCACACCAAGCAAGGAGTTTTAGAGTGTTGAATTTGGTCAACCAAAAAATGAATGTCTTATTTGGCTAGCGTGAGGTTTATTTGATCTAATGAAGTTTGGTAACACTCAAGTTTTATTAGGTACTATCAGTAGTACAGGTGACATCCAGCACGGAAACACTTAACAGGTTTCTGGACAGCAGGATACAGAGCAGGGTCAGTACAGCAGTCGCTCCTTTCATGAAGAGGTACTCGCAACTCATCCGGATTTCAGAGAAAGGAGTAGAAAATGACTAGTTGCCACCAACAAGATAGGCTGACAGCCGCTGGTAATACATGAGAAGAGCAAGTATTTATTTGAATATGAAACAAGGCTATATAGCTTGGTCAATCAATATGATTTCGAAGAGGACATTTGTACTTCAAAGGAGGGGATGTCCTTGGTTCAGATATCCCATAGAGGATCCCAGAGCATACTGGTCACAACAATGTAGAAAATATGTTAGCACTGTGTCATTCCAACTATAGCAAGAGCTGATATACTAGTTATCCAACAACTGAAAGTATGCAGCTGGTATTCCAATATGCGAAGTCTTAGCTACTTGACAAGTCCACTATGGAAAAAGACCATTGTCATCCAACGAAAAAGAAGAGCTAGCTGGTCTTCCTTCAAGGGATGACTGACAGCTGCTCTTTCACTGAAGAGCAGACATTGTCCCTACCTAAAAACTATTACCAACTCTTCATCCCTGGGGCAGAAGAGGCGTATGAGCTAGTCGCTCATTCCACAGCGTATGGACAAGAGCTTATGCGCTGCTTGGCATTCCAAACGTTGAGATAGAGGTATGACTAGCTGTAACTTCCAACATCGAGCAAAAGCAGAGCTGCTGCCCACTAAGCGAGGGGCTATTTCATGTTGGTCACAACAAGCAAGAGGTTTAGAGTGCTTGATGGTCATCCAAAAAAGAGGCTATGATGCTACGTTGGTTTATTGGAATAGGATAGAGTGTTGGTCATCAACTTACAAGATGGACTCAGCCACAGGAAAACACTTTTATCAGGTTTCCAGATAGCTATGCATATTCAGAGCATGAGGTAGTAGCATTGAGTCGCTCTCCTTTCAATACAGGCGGTTGACTTCAACAACCCTCATCGAATATTCAGAAAAGGATTACAATAATGAGATGTATCCACCAATCCAAAGAGGCTATGAGCTAGCTTGGTCATTCCAACTATGGAGCAAAGAGGCTATGAGCTAGCTTGGTCATTCCAACTATGGAGCGAAGAGGCTATGAGCTAGCTTGGTCATTCCAACTATGGAGCGAAGAGGCTATGAGCTAGCTTGGTCATTCCAACTATGGAGCGAAGAGGCTATGAGCTAGCTTGGTCATTCCAACTATGGAGCGAAGAGGCTATGAGCTAGCTTGGTCATTCCAACTATGGAGCGAAGAGGCTATGAGCTAGCTTGGTCATTCCAACTATGAGGTGCCATTTGGACCTCAACTTTACATATATACACACACACAGTTGAAGTCGGAAGTTTACATACACCTTTGCCAAATACATTTAAACTCAGTTTTTTCACAATTTCTGACATTTAATCCTAGTAAAAATTCCCTGTCTTAGGTCAGTTAGGATCATCACTTTATTTTAAGAATATGAAATGTCAGAATAATAGTAGAGAATGATTTATTTCAGTTTTTATTTATTTCATCACATTCCCAGTTGGTCAGAAGTTTACATACACTCAATTAGTATTTGGTAGCATTGCCTTGAAATTGTTTAAGCTCCCGAGTGGCGCAGTGGTCTAAGGCACTGCATCGCAGTGCTAGCTGTGCCACTAGAGATCCTGGTTCGAGTCCTGGCTCTGTCGCAGCCGGCCGTGACCGGGAGACCCATGGGCGGCGCACAATTGGTCCAGCGTCATCCAAGGTAGGGGAGGGTTTGGCCGGCAGGGATGTGGGTTTTCCTCCAAACATAACGATGGTCATTATGGCCAAACAGTTCTATTTGTTTCATCAGACCAGAGGACATTTCTCCAAAAACTACAATCTTTGTCCCCATGTGCAGTTGCAAACCGTAGTCTGGCTTTTGTATGGTGGTTTTGGAGCAGTGGCTTCTTCCCTGCTGAGCAGCCTTTCAGGTTATGTAAATATAGGACTCGTTTTAATGTGGATATAGATACTTTTGTACCGGTTTCCTCCAGCATCTTCACAAGGTCCTTTGCTGTTGTTCTGGGATTGATTTGCACTTTTCGCACCAAAGTATGTTAATATCTAGGAGACAGAACGCGTCTCCTTCCTGAGCGGTATGACGGCTGCGTGGTCCCATGGTGTTTATACTTGCGTACTATTGTTTGTACAGATGAACGCGGTACCTTCAGGCGTTTGGAAATTGGTCCCAAGGATGAACCAGACTTTTGGAGGTCTACAATTTTTTACTGAGGTCTTGGCTGATTTATTTTCATTTTCCCATGATGTCAAGCAGAGGCACAGAGTTTGAAGGTAGGCCTTGAAATACCTCCACAGGTACACCTCCAATTGACTAAATTGATGTCAATTAGCCTATCAGAAGCTTCTAAAGCTATGACATCATTTTCTGGAATTTTCCAAGCTGTTTAAAGGCACAGTCAACTTAGTGTATGCAAACTTCTGACCCACTGGAATTGTGATACAGTGAATTATAAGTGAAATAATCTGTCTGTAAACAATTGTTGGAAAAATGACTTGTGTCATGCACAAAGTAGATGTCCTAAACGACTTGCCCAAACTATAGTTAACAAGAAATTTGTGGAGTGGTTGAAAAACGAGTTTTAATGACCCCAACCTAAGTGTATGTAAACTTACGACTTAACATTTACATTTTAGTCATTTAGCAGACGCTCTTATCCAGAGCGACTTACAGTTAGTCAGTGCATACATTTTCATACTGGTCCCCCGTTGGAATCGAACCCACAACCCTGGCGTTGCAAACGCCATGCTCTACCAACTGAGCTACACAGGACTTCAACTGTGTGTGTGTGTGTGTGTGTGTGTGTAGAGGGCAGCAGAGAGGACAGGTCCACATACATACTATCAGAAAAAGGCCAAGTTTGACTTTCACAAAACCATATTGGTCAAGCTCAGGCACATACAACATTTTTGGGTGCATTTTCCAATTTGTTAGGTGCATAATCCTAACAGGGTGGAACCTAACAGGGTTGACATTTGATTTTGAGCCTAACTTGGCCATAGCTCTGAGTAAGCAAGATTGAGCTAGCATATTGGTGAACACTTGAACAGGATTTTAACTTCTCTATCAAACACATTTAACATGTTTATTCGCTATAATTTAGCCTAACATGAAACATTTACAAATAGATCAAACTGAGTGTTTATATTTATTTAGCTTTGCACCATAGTTTTCCCACCAAATAAATTATGACACTTCCTGAATGTGGTGTCATTGTAGTAAGGGGTTGTTTTCTTAAATGGAGAATTACAAACTAACAGGGTGGAAAGTGATATCCGGGACACACTGGGGACATGGCATAAACGCCTACATCCACTGACAAAGTGTTTAAAATGCATAAAATTCACTTTCAGGATCCATATTTTGGTGTTGTTACGGTAAAGCATACCTGACGTTATATTTTAAACCTTTTGGAATCCACATTTTCACGACATTAGAACTGATATTTCCTGGGGCCAGAAAAGGCATTGCATTGTAGGAATGACCCAGCTAACGTTCGCTAGTTAGCATTGTGTTGTGATGACTAGATACTTACGAGCTAAAATAAGCTGCTGTTTGGTGAGCTTAGTCCCAGTTGTTGGTAAGAAGTTTAACTCCAACAACGAAATCTGTAGAAAGAAATAGCAACGGACAGTTAACATATTTGTAAAACAGTTGGTTACGTTAGCTTAGCTAACGTTAGCTAGCAATACTAGCTAATTGACAAAATCCCCTATTACTTAGGTTCGAGGGTGAAGCAACCAAATATTGTAATAGCCTTTACCTTGAGCTTGCTCAAAATTTCTCCACATTTGTTCAGATTGGGATTTTTCTTGTTCCATTCCGTTTTCAATGTTTCATATAGCCCCGCGGTCTCTTTCAATACAGACGCCATGGTGATTCTGCAAAATGTACGACACCGGACGCTTGGAATACGGCATGCAACTGTCGTAAAACAGCGCTGTTGCCAAAGACGATCTATTATATTGACAAGATAGTCGAGTGACCCCTCTAACAATGGAAGTACATGTCCGAACATGTTTATTTTCTGTCTGAATATTCCGAGATCGCCACATTCTCCCATAGCCGTTGCGAAGTAATAATTCACTCTTCAGTGTTGTGCTGTTAATTTCCGATTGTTTTTCAATCCTATGAAGATGTCCAGTGAACGCATAAATGCAATTTGTTGACACAACACCTTACAGACTTGGATACACATTATCCCGAATACTTATCAATAAAAACGTCTTAAATTCGCTGCTCTGTTTTTCATAGGGAATTGTCGGATATACATCACCAAAATGTCGATAATAAATGCGCTAACATGGCAGCCTTTCTAAAATCTTGCTGAACCAGATATAGCTTTCGGTGGGACCATTTAAATCAGGGTTCTTCAATTCCGGTCCTGGAGGGCCGAAACACCTCTGTTTTTCATCCTCTCCTTCTAATCAGGGGCTAATTCAGACCTGGGACACCAGGTGAGTGCAATTAACTACCAGGTAGAAATAAAAAACAGAAGTGTTTCGGCCCTCCAGGACCGGAATTGAAGAACCCTGATTTAAATCAATGAAAGGGCAGATATTGGCGTCACCATGGCGTCAGCCCAGTCTAAGCTGTTCGCTGCTCTGGCACCCCAATGGTGGAACAAGCTTCCCTCACGACGCCAGGACAGCGGAGTCACTCACCACCTTCCGGAGACACTTGAAACCCCACCTCTTTAAGGAATACCTGGAATAGTATAACAGTAATCCCATTAAAAAAAAGAAAAAAGTGGTTGTCCCACTGGCTATCCTAAATTGAATGCACCAATTTGTAAGTCGCTCTGGATAAGAGTGTCTGCTAAATGATGTAATATTGTATGTGTGTGAACAACAGGTACAACTCCGATATAAAGTAGTTTTTTTCATAGTTGCCGAAATGCGTCCACTTATATCAGTGGATTTGTAACAACCTAACCATTACGAAACGTGTATTCGATCAAATAAGCCTCACGTAGCAAATTAGCAATTACATTTTTTGTTAAACAAATTCGACAGTCTCGTTGACCTCCATTGGTGATCTTATTTTCGTGGACAGATTTTGGGCAGAGTAAACACTCTTGCTTCGCCTCTTCCTCTCTGCCATTGCTAAGGTAACTTCTTCTTCTACGTTCGAATTCTAGTGCAAATGGTGCATTCATACCGCTTACAGGCCGACATAACATCGTCGTGTTTCTGAGAAATGAAAAACGTCTTTACATAAATCTTTATGTCCGTTAGATGGCGCTCATTCAACGTGAAATATAACCAAAGTCGTTTCCAGACTTTTCATCCTTCACGGGGCGTCTTAGTGAGGAATTCCCCATGTATCCACCCAATGACGTAGTTGGAGACCCCTGTTTAGTGGGCTGTTGTTTGGGGGTGTTCCATCCGCTATATGGTCCTCATGTGCAGTACTCTTGACAGCCATATGAATGCCACGTAGAATAATGGGGGGGGGGGGGTTTGTGTGTTTTCCATCATAGTAACTTCAACTGTTTTTGAGCAACTAAATAGTTTTGAAACAGCTCATGAGGAATGTCAAGACATTTGCTCCACATTATTATGTTGGAAAGGCAACACTTCTGTCAGCAGCACTGCCTGTTGATCTGATTAGGAAATCTGGGAAAAGGTTAGTGTTATCCATGGAAGAGATTTCCTGCAGGGTTTGGACACATCTTGTCTGTTTGAAACTGTCAGGTGGAAACTAGTAGCAGCAGGCCTGACCCCATCCAAGACGCGCACACACACACACACACACACACACACACACACACACACACAGAGAGAGAGACACACACACACACACAGACACACACACACACACACACAGAGACAGACACACAGACACACACACACACACACACACAGAGACAGACACACACAGCAGGTCATGGGTGCGGCCTAAACATCTTGTTCCTAGGGAAAAGTCCAAATAGGGGAATGTTGTTAATGCCTATAATAAAGGTAGTGTCTAGAGGCTGAGCCTGAGCCCAAGGAAACTTAGCGGACCCCAGGAAAGCTGATATTAATAGTTCTCAGGCCAGCCCACCACATTCCTGGCATGTGAGTCACACTGTACACTAGGAGGGAGAGAGGGGGGGGGGGGAAGCGAGAGGGGGGAGAGAAAGAGAGAGCGAGAGAGAAAGGGAGAGAGGGAAAGAGAGAGAGAGAGGGAAAGAGAGGGCGAGGGGGGGAGAGAGAAAGAGTGAGGGGGAGACAGGGAAAGAGAGAGCGGGGGGGGAGGAATTCCTGTTTCTCATTTGTGATTCTTTCCATGGAGGAGTGAAAGAGGGAGAGAGGAGGCAGGGAGACCAGACCACCCCTCCCTCCCTCCCCCTCCCTCCACAAACCTTAAAAGCCTACACACACGAAACCGCTACGCGCACACAGACATTTCAGAGGCACTTACACCAGAAAGGATTCAACAGAGTATAAACAGAGAGTGTGATACCTCATGATCTACTGTGCAGTGTGCTGGTTGGTTAAACCTGGGACTGCTTGAAGGCTGGAGAGAGATTTGGATTCAAGTTTTTTGGTGTGTGTGTTTAAGGGAGAATGGGAGAGAGTGAGTGAGCCAGTGAGTGTACCACTGGAAAATGGTGGTATGGGGTTTTGGCCTGGAGCACTGTGGCTTACGCTTTGTCTGACTGTCATTGAGAAACCAAGTGAACATTATACTGTTACTGTAGAGGAGAATCAGCCTGTATCACGGCTAAGCTTTGTTTGAAATGTAAAATATTGTTTTTACTGTGTTGCCTAAATATGGTATGTGGCTAGATATATATCCTGTTTTGTGTCCTGATGGGATATTTAAGGAACACTTAACATGGTACTGTTCCACACATGCATAGAGAAAGATCTGCCTCGTGCCACACACTTAGTCAAAGTGTGTCTATCTACTATTTAATGCACAGATGGACAAGTGGTGATGACTTGACGTGGTTCTCTTTCCTTTCTCTAAACACTTATGAATTCAACTTCATCTCCTCTTCATTCTGAACAAGAGGTCGGCGGAGGTCATTAGAACACAGTCCATACAGTTTATTAGGTAATGCTAGTAATGCTAATACAACATGTAGCGGTGGGGTTGGTGAAGCTAGCTGTGTAGTCAGTAAGATAGATAAACAAATCAAACTGTGTTAGTTAACAACACTGTTCTCATAGCATGTGACATTAATTTCAAACAAAGGCAGTTCTTTGTCTAGTACATACAAAATCAACAGCAATAGTAAAAAAAAAAAAAAGAGGTTGAAAACAAACATATTTCTGCCATGAGAGAAGGAAAATAGTGTGCGAGGAAAAAACTATGGCAAGTTACTGTATAGCTGCTATACTATAGAAGTGCTGTAATGTAACTGGTTAGACCAGTCCCCTACAGACAGACAGAGAAATGACTAAACAAGCTTTATACTGTAGCTAATGACAACAGCTGTCTATCAAATACATGTGTAGATTAGTGTACATACTCAACATATTAGTGTCTATTTCTGTCTGTTTTGATTTGTTTAAACACTCGCTGCTAAATAGCTCCATGTAAAAGCAAGTCAAATATAGTACGGCATAAGTCAGATACATGTTTACCGGTAATCAGATCAGTGTGTAATTAACAGTAGATTTGTCAGTCAGTGATACCACTGTGGACCCAGTCATCCAAGGAATGTTGAGTTAAACAGTAGATGTGTGAGATAGTAAGGATTTATAATAGTGTAATGTCATTTCTGGCATAACATCTGTGTGAGAATATAAAATATAAAAATGCAAGACTTTTAGAAAGAGAATATGTGGTTAAGAAGTTCTACTAGTTTGGAGAAAGTAGTGTTCAGAGTAGAGCAGAGTAGCGCAGAGTAGAGTAGAGTAGAGTAGAGTAGAGTAGAGAGGAGTAGTGTAGTAGAGTAGAGTAGAGTAGAGTAGAGTAGAGTAGAGTAGAGTAGAGTTAGAGTAGAGTGAGGTAGAGTAGAGTAGAGCAGAGCAGAGTAGAGTAGAGTAGAGTAGTAGAGTAGGTAGAGTAGAGTAGAGTAGAGTAGAGTAGAGTAGAGTAGAGTAGAGTAGTAGAGTAGGTAGAGTAGAGTAGAGTAGTAGAGTAGAGTAAGTAGAGTAGTAGAGTAGTAGTAGAAGTAGAGTAGAGTAGAGTAGTAGGTAGAGTGAGTAGAGTAGAGTAGAGTAGAATAGAGTAGAGAGGAGTAGAGTAGTAGAGTATAGTAGAGTATAATAGATTAGAGTATACTAGAGTATAGTAGAGCAATAGAGTATAATATAGTAGAGCAGTGTGGGCCACTAGCCTTTATTTGACCTCAGCTCAGCTAAACACATTTAGATCCAATAAGACAAAGTTGGGGTGCATTTCAATAGTGTTCAGTATATTCCCCTCCTCCTTTCCTTTCCTTTCATTCATCTGCACTATGGGAAAGGAACCAGACTGGAGACACACTGGACTCCAGACCACACATCACATGCCCCCATGGTGACGTAGGGTTGGAGTCTCATCTCCGCTACTCTGTCAAGCCTTTTCTTACTGTCTCTCTCCACTCTCCCTCGAAGAAGAAAAAAATGGACAGGAGATGAAACGACCAGAGGAAGCTACCTAAGACTATGGAGATGCACCAGGGGCTTACAGACATAAAGACAAGGAGACAAGAGGACAACGTAGGGGGGCAGTAGCGTGTGTGTCAGCCATCAGAGGGTTATGCTGTCAGCTCCTCAGGGTGGGTTGATGTAATAGTCTTCTATATATCAGATCCTTTCTGTCTGCGCTTGGAGGGGGGCACCAGACGGGCGGGCAGCTCGGGGGGCAGACCATGCCCCTCCAACTTCACCTCGATCAGGTGGCTGGCCAGGGCAAACTCCTCGTCATCCAGCATGCCATCCCGGTCCACATCCGACAGCTTCCAGATCCTCCCCAGGACAGAGTTTGGCAGCCGGGTGCTCACCATCCAGTCCTTGGCCTTGGTGCCACTCAGCTTGCCCTCGTTGGGCGCCAGGTTGTAGAAGATCTCATCATATTTGGGCTTGTCCTTGGTCACCACCCAGGCCATCTCACCCCCGTCCTCCCCGTCCTCGCCCCCGTTCTCCACCTCTCCGAATGGGTCGTTCTCCACAAAGGGACCGGCACGGGTCCCCAGGAAGGCCCCCCCCTGCACCCCTGGCTGCACCCCAGCGTCGATCTCTTCCTGGCGCAGCAGCGGCATCAGCTTTGCGATGTCGGAAGCCAGAAGCTCGTCCAGAGCGGCCATCAGGGACGGCTTCATGGGCTTGAATTTAGTGAAGTCGTGGATCAACAGCTGCTCCTGGATGGGAACAGAGAACCCAGCAAACGAGTCAGCCAATCAGTCCATCTGTTACCAGAGGGATGAATTACCAGACTTTTGCTCTGGACATTCAAACCTTAAATAGAAATTGACTAAACAGACCTGCATCTTGGCGCAGTCAGGGAAGTCCCCAGCAGAGATGTGGTGCTGCAGCTGGATCTTGGAGAAGATGACAGGAAGCTGGTAGATCAGGTTCTTCTTCTTATTGTCCTTCCTGAAGGTTGGCATCTCCTTCTTTAGATAGCTGATGATGTAGGCATGCACCTGGAGAGAGAGAGAGAGATGTGGGGGGAGGGAGAGAGAGAGAGAGATGTGGGGGGAGGGAGAGAGAGGGAGAGAGTGTTGGGGGAGGGGGAGAAAGAGAGAGAGAGAGGGGGAGGGAGAGAGAGAGGGAGGAGGGAGAGAGAGAGAGAGAGAGGGAGAGAGAGAGGGGGAGAGAGAGAGAAAGAAAGAGAGAGAGAAAGAGGGGTAGAGAGAGAGACAGAACAAGATAATTAGGGGGGAGGGTGGCAAATATTAACTTCAGCAATGCCACTCTCACCTCATTTTCTTATATGAACCTAGTAAAACACCTTATTCCTCAGTAGAGCTACCTAACCCACTAGACAGTATGTGTGTTACAGGGTTGATTATATCATACTTCAACTGAAGGGATGAGTGAGAGAGATAGACAGAGAGAAAGAGAGAGGGAGATCCAGATAGATATATCCATTAGTTTTCTATGACTCTGTTACATTTTGATGTGTATTGTTCGGTAATTACAGGGCTCATCTGTAAAGGAGACCTTGGTCTCAGCATGACTCCCTGTCAAAATAAAAAATAAAAATCTAGACAGATAACCTACCCTGACCAGTCGTGCCCTCTTCACCAGGTCGTTGAGTTTCCTGAGGGCAGCGTTATGGGGAAGGTTCTGGATGTCACTGAACAGATCCTCCTCTTCCAATTCAAACAGACGACGGTTATCAGGGACCAGCAGCGGCTCGGACCAGAACGACCCTATATACACCCTCAGGACCTCTGGGGTGTTGAACACCTGTCAATCAAATCGATAATATCAATCAAATGTATCCATAAAGCCATTTTTACGTTTGTCACAAAGTGCTATACACACAAAAATAGATTAGATCTTGCTACCATGAAAAGGTAAATACCTGTCTATTTGTGGAAAAATCACCCTGATTAACTCTTTAGTATTATCCCAGTTTACCTATTTGTTATGGTCTTGCCTACGCCTAGCGAACAGTTTTGTAAATTATATGAGAAAAAAGATTCAATTTTATTTGGAACGGCAAGCCAGACAAAATTAAACGGGCCTATTTATATAATGAATATGAATTCGGAGGACAGAAATGATTAAATATTAAAGCATTAGACCTATCACTAAAACCTTCAGTCATACAAAAGTTATACTTAAATCCGAACTGGTTCTCTAACAAATTAGTAAAATTGTCTCACCCCATGTTCAAGAATGGCCTTTTTCCCTTTATTCAGATTACAACCTCTCACTTTCAGTTATTTGAAAAGGAAATAATCTCCCAAATATCACTATTTCTAAAACAAGCCATAGAAAGTTGGTTGCAATTTCAATTTAATCCTCCAGAAACGACAGAACAAATAATGCAACAAATATTGTGGTTAAACTCAAATATACTAATTGATTAAAAAAACATTATTTTTTGAAGAAATGTTTTAAAAAGGTATAATCTTCATAATTATATCATAGGTAGGACTGGTAGAGTTATGTCACACATGCAGCTAACAAAAACATATGGAAATGTCTGCTCTACCCAAAATTACAACCAAATAATTGCAGCCTTACCGCAAAAATGGAAGAGGAAAGTGGAAGGGGGAGAAAGTAAGGAACTTGTCTGTCGGCCTTGCATTAAAGACCATAATTGGTTATAGAAAATTGTGATAAATAAAAAAGTATATCAGTTTCATTTAAGGACCAAAGGATTGACAGCCGTCCCATATAGATTGCAAAATAGTTGGGAAGAGATTTTTGACGTACCGATCCCATGGCATAGTGTTTATGAACTGATACGTAAAACGACACCGGATTCAAAACTTAGAATTTTTCAATTTAAATTATTATAAAAAATTCTTGCTACCAATAGAATGTTATTTATATGGGGGATACAATCTTCCCAGCTCTGCAGATTTTGCTGCGAAGAGACAGAATAATTTGATCATTTGTTTATGTACTGTCCATTTGTAGCTTGTTTTTGGTCACAGGTCCAGGAATGGCTGAAGGATTGCAATATTTACCTCGACCTAACCCTGCAGATAGCACTACTGGGTGATCTGAAAAGTCATAGTCAATCGATCAATAATATAATACTTTTAGCAAAAATGTTTATTTTCAATTTACAATCTGTAGAAACAATGAGAATAGAAGGGTTCAGAACTTTTGTGAAACATCACAGTACAGTTGAAAAATATATGGCAAATAGAAATCCAATATGGATGGTGTTAAGAGATAGATGGGAGGTGTTGAATGGAGCTGAAGAATGGGACTAATAACAAATAACAACAACTAATAACTACAAGATAACTAATGTAAAGCATACTGTGTCCATAATAAGTATATACAGTGCCTTGCAAAAGTATTCATCCCCCTTGGTGTTTTTCCTATTTTGTTGCATTACAACCTGTCATTTAAATTGATATTTATTTGGATTTCATGTAATGGACATACACAAAACAGTCCAAATTGGTGAAGTGAAATGAAAAAAATAACTTGTTTCAAAAAAGTGGTGCGTGCATATGTATTCACCCCCTTTGCTATGAAGCCCCTAAATAAGATCTGGTGCAACCAATTACCTTCAGAAGTCACATAATTAGTTAAATAAAGTCCACCTGTGTGCAATCTAAGTGTCACATGATCTGTCACATGATCTCAGTATATATACACCTGTTCTGAAAGGCCCCAGAGTCTGCTAAACCACTAAGCAAGGGGCACCATGAAGACCAAGGAGCTCTCCAAACAGGTCAGGGACAAAGTTGTGGAGAAGTACAGATCAGGGTTGGGTTCTAAAAAAATATCAGAAACTTTGAACATCCCACAAAGCACCATTAAATCCATTATTAAAACATGGAAAGAATATGGCACCACAACAAACCTGCCAAGAGAGGGCCGCCCACCAAAAAACTCACGGACCAGGCAAGGAGGGCATTAATCAGAGAGGCAACAAAGAGACCAAAGATAACCCTGAAGGAGCTGCAAAGCTCCACAGCAGAGATTGGAGTATCTGTCCATAGGACCACTTTAAGCCGTACACTCCACAGAGCTGGGCTTTACAGAAGAGTGGCCAGAAAAAAGCCATTGCTTAAAGAAAAATATAAGCAAACACGTTTGGTGTTTGCCAAAAGCCATGTGGAAGACTCCCCAAACATATGGAAGAAGGTACTCTGGTCAGATGAGACTAAAATTGAGCTTTTTGGCCATCAAGGAAAACGCTATGTCTGGCGCAAACCCAACACCTCTCATCACCCCGAGAACACCATCCCCACAGTGAAGCATGGTGGTGGCAGCATCATGCTGTGGGGATGTTTTTCCATCGGCAGGAACTAGGAAACTGGTCAGAATTGAAGGAATGATGGATGGCGCTAAATACAGGGAAATTCTTGAGGGAAACCTGTTTCAGTCTTCCAGAGATTTGAGACTGGGACAGAAGTTGACCTTCCAGCAGGACAATGACCCTAAGCATACTGCTAAAGCAACACTCGAGTGGTTTAAGGGGAAACATTTAAATGTATTGGAATGGCCTAGTCAAAGCCCAGACCTCAATCCAATTGAGAATCTGTGGTATGACTTAAAGATTGCTGTACACCAGCGGAACCCATCCAACTTGAAGGCGCTGGAGCAGTTTTGCCTTGAAGAATGGGCAAAAATCCCAGTGGCTAGATGTGCCAAGCTTATAGAGACATACCCCAAGAGACTTGCAGCTGTAATTGCTGCAGAAAGTGGCTCTACAAAGTATTGACTTTGGGGGGGTGAATAGTTATGCACGCTCAAGTTTTCTGTTTTTTTGTCATATTTCTTGTTTGTTTCACAATAAATAATATTTTGCATCTTTCAAAGTGGTAGGCACGTTGTGTAAATCAAATGATACAACCCCCCCAAAAATCCATTTTAATTCCAGGTTGTAAGGCAACAAAATAGGAAAAATGCCAATGGGGGTGAATACTTTCGCAAGCCACTGTAGGTTATAGGTTGAGAGCTTTTGTGAAAGAGCACAGCTAGAAAGAAATGGCATATAGAAGCAAACCGGATGGACATCATGAAAATGATCATAGAGGTTGAGGGTAGAGGAAGTACAGGAGTAAAAACAAACAAAATAGAATTATTAAAATTGACTGTGTCCATTAAATGTATATAGTATAAGCTGGAAGTAGAGACCTAAGCATTGTTGTTCACTAGTTTACTCCAATTAGGGAAGGGGTGGTGGGGTTGGAAAGTAATAAAGGGAAATATATTTTTTTTAAAGGATATGTATGTATATGTATGTATTTATATGTATGTGTATATGTATGTGTGTGTGTATATATATATATATATATATATTTGCGAGAAGAAAAAACATATGGGGGATTGGAAGTGTTGCAGACAATTACAGTTGAAGTCGGAAGTTTACATACACCTTATTCAAATACATTTAAACTCAGTTTTTCACAATTCCTGACATTTAATCCTAGTAAACATTCCCTGTCTTAGGTCAGTTAGGATCACCACTTTATTTTAAGAATGTGAAATGTCAGAATAATAGTAGAGAGAATGATTTATTTCAGCTTTTATTTCTTTCATCACATTCCCAGTGTGTCAGAAGTTTACATACACTGAATTAGTATTTGGTAGCATTGCCTTTAAATTGTTTAACTTGGGTGAAATGTTTCGGGTAGCCTTCCACAAGCTTCCCACAATAAGTTGGGTGAATTTTGGCCCATTCCTCCTGACAGAGCTGGTGTAACTGAGTCAGGTTTGTAGGCTCCTTGCTCGCACATGCTTTTTCAGTTCTGCCCACAAATGTTCTATGGGATTGAGGTCAGGGCTTTGTGATGGCCACTCCAATACCTTGACTTTGTTGTCCTTAAGCCATATTGCCACAACTTTGGAAGTATGCTTGGGGTCATTGTCCATTGGAAGACCCATTTGAGACCAAGCTTTAACTTCCTGACTGATGTCTTGAGATGTTGTTTCAATATATCCACATAATTTTCCTTCCTCATGATGCCATCTATTTTGTGAATTGCACCAGTCCCTCCTGCAGCAAAGCACCCCCGGAGCATGATGCTGCCACCCCCGTGCTTCATGGTTGGGATGGTGTTCTTTGGCTTGCAAGCAACCCCCTTTTTCCTCCAAACATAACGATGGTCATTATGGCCAAACAGTTCTATTTTTGTTTCATCAGACCAGAAGACATTTCTCCAAAAAGTACAATATTTGTCCCCATGTGCAGTTGCAAACCGTAGTCTGGCTTTTTTATGGCGGTTTTGGAGCAGTGGCTTCTTCCTTGCTGAGCAGCCTTTCAGGTTTTGTCGATATAGGACTCGTTTTACTGTGGATATAGATACTTTTGTACCACAGGTACACCTCCAATTGACTCAAATTATGTCAATTAGCCTATCAGAAGCTTCTAAAGCCATGACATCATTTTCTGGAAATTTCCAAGCTGTTTAAAGGCACAGTCAACTTAGTGTATGTAAACTTCTGACCCACTGGAATTGTGATACAGTGAATTATAAGTGAAATAATCTGTCTGTAAACAATTGTTGGAAAAATTACTTGTGTCATGCACAAAGTAGATGTCCTAACCGACTTGCCAAAACTATAGTTTGTTAACAAGAAATTTGTGGAGTGGTTAAAAAACGAGTTTTAATGACTCCAACCTAAGTGTATGTAAACTTCCGACTTCAACTGTACATTGATGGAAGTTACAATCTATCTGCAATATTAAAGCTGATCTACCCCCTAGAGAAAAAAAAGATATAACAAAAAATTAAGTGCTTTAAACTCCCAACTCCTTTAAGTCTCTTTTGCACATTAATTCAGTACTTTTGAACTTGACTCTACATATGTATTAAAAACAAAAAACTACATTTTAAGTGAGAGTATGAATTAGGCTGTTTGAGAAGGTTTGAATCCTAAGCAACCTGCCTACACATTGTTTGAAGTACAATAGACCAACATAGCTACTGTTGTAGGTCAAAGCTGTGTGCTGTGTGCTGGAAAACCTTGGTGGAGCATGGGTGGAGGAGTAGACATTGTGGTGCTCGTGAATTTCCTTTCTTTTTCAGCTTCAGACCAATGCCGCCTACTTGTTTTTAATTTCCATGGTTTTTACACTGGAAGGTGATTACGCAACATTATAATACAGCATAACAGCAATAAAGTAAAGTACAAAAAAACTAAACACAATAATGACAAATGGCAACAGAGATAATGTAGTTGTTAGTATTTATTTAATATTAACAGCAGATTTTCCAGAGGGAAGCGAAAAACCAGAAACCCATTGAAGCCAATATTGGGTAAACTGGAAACATTTTCCCTGATCTCTTTTAACAAGAAAATACACCAATAATCAACCTGTAGTCTACCCATTAACTATTGACATACATTATTGACTGTCACATTAGGTGGCTCTGAGAGCAAGGTATGAGGTGGCACAAACTGCTCAGTGTTCTGCGCCAGCAGAGGGCCTGTGCTACTTCTCCCCTGACATCCTAGTCATCCACCTCGGTGGAAATGATTTGTCCACCAAGTGGACGGCACTGGTGCAGAAAATCTGCGGTTTTAGAAGTGGTCATTCAAATGTTTCCCGGGACAACAGTGGTCTTCTCTGATATCCCGCAGCGGAGGAGCTGGATGTTCCAGTGGGACCAGAAGGTAAACTAGTGGATAGAGAGGGCCCTGCGCGCCGACAATCAGCTGGTGTACGCATTTCAGGGAACACAATCCACCACCCTGCCATTAAGCATTGTGTCCCTGGGATGTACCGTAGGGGTGGAGTGCATCTGACGGACGAGGGCAACAACGTATTCCTTGAGAGTTGGTCTCCCCAGTCTCCACCGTTCTCTCCTTTGTAGTAGCAAGACGGAGAAGGGTGCAATTGCGACCTGCAATTCATTGGCGTTCCTGCCTGTGAGCAATCCTTCATCTGCAGGAACCCCTCTTTATACTTCTATTGGTCCATTGTTAAAGCTGCTTTCCCGTAGTTCTGTTAACGATGGCCGAGGCGGGTGTTCGGCAGGCGGGAGCGAAGGACACTGTGTGCTAGCAAGTTAGCTAGCTAGCCAGCTAGCTAGGAGGACTCCGGGAATACAGCAAGTGGGAGGCGGGGGAGACCGTTTTTTTACGCCAAAGAGAATGGTCAAAATGTCTCCTCCAAAAAGGGGAACCCAGAACCTTCAGATTCCATGGCGGTGACGTTAACGCTTATGCTACAAACCCTGTCATGAGCGTAGTATCTTGAAACGATTTAAATGGACATTCTGGTGATGACAGTAAGCTTCCGTTGTTGTTCATTCACTCAGTACTTTCTCTTGCTTGGTAAAATAAATAGTCTAAAACAGTTTATGTGTTGAAAACAGTCACATAGCTAACCAAGTTAGCAAGCATGGCATTTTCTTTTGACTGCACAAAGGTCGCCGAAGCGAGCAATGATGTTGGTGTTGTTTAACCTGGGTGCAACCGCGCACTGAATCAATGCATAAGGTAAGGGGCTGTAACGTTAGCTAGCTACATTGCTAAGCAAGCCAAGTTGACTAGTGTATGGAGTAACGTTAGCTAATGTTAACGTTAGATGAGCAATGCCCATTGCATGTATTATACATTAGCAGCGTGGCAGTTTCCCAAAGTTTGGTGGTGTTGACTATGAACTTTACTTAGCTAGCTAGCTGTGCTTTGTGGAAGAATGTTGGTGATATTGTCAACATTGAGTTGTGCCGGTGCAAACAGCTAATGTTACAGCCTTGTTGGCTTGTAGCTAGCTAGCGTTACGGGCTACCGTTAGTTGGCTAGCCAACTGGCAATAGTAGCCAAGGACGTTCGCCATCTTATTTGTGCTTATTTGTTTGTGCTCTGAATACACTCAAGTGTCAAGGCCAACAGTTTACACAGATTACTTCAGCCATTTGCAAAAAACCTTACATAGCAAAATATAGCTAGCTTTTTTTTAACTGGTGTTAGCTACAGTGGGGAGAACAAGTATTTGATACACTGCCGATTTTGCAGGTTTTCCTACTTACAAAGCATGTAGAGGTCTGTAATTTTTATCCTAGGTACACTTCAACTGTGAGAGACGGAATCTAAAACAAAAATCCAGAACATCACATTGTATGCTTTTTAAGTAATTAATTTGCATTTTATTGCATGACATAAGTATTTGATCACCTACCAACCAGTAAGAATTCCGGCTCTCACAGACCTGTTAGTTTTTCTTTAAGAAGCCCTCCTGTTCTCCACTCATTACCTGTATTAACTGCACCTGTTTGAACTCGTTACCTGTATAAAAGACACCTGTCCACACACTCAATCAAACAGACTCCAACCTCTCCACAATGGCCAAGACCAGAGAGCTGTGTAAGGACATCAGGGATAAAAATTGTAGACCTGCACAAGGCTGGGATGGGCTACAGGACAATAGGCAAGCAGCTTGGTGAGAAGGCAACAACTGTTGGCGCAATTATTAGAAAATGGAAGAAGTTCAAGATGACGGTCAATCACCCTCGGTCTGGGGCTCCATGCAAGATCTCACCTCGTGGGGCATCAATGATTATGAGGAAGGTGAGGGATCAGCCCAGAACTACACGGCAGGACCTGGTCAATGACCTGAAGAGAGCTGGGACCACAGTCTCAAAGAAAACCATTAGTAACACACTACGCCGTCATGGATAAAAATCCTGCAGCGCACGCAAGGTCCCCCTGCTCAAGCCAGCGCATGTCCAGGCCCGTCTGAAGTTTGCCAATGACCATCTGGATGATCCAGAGGAGGAATGGGAGAAGGTCATGTGGTCTGATGAGACAAAAATAGAGCTTTTTGGTCTAAACTCCACTCGCCGTGTTTGGAGGAAGATGAAGGATGAGTACAACCCCAAGAACACCATCCCAACCGTGAAGCATGGAGGTGGAAACATCATTCTTTGGGGATGCTTTTCTGCAAAGGGGACAGGACGACTGCACCGTATTGAGGGGAGGATGGATGGGGCCATGTATCGCGAGATCTTGGCCAACAACCTCCTTCCCTCAGTAAGAGCATTGAAGATGGGTCGTGGCTGGGTCTTCCAGCATGACAACGACCCAAAACACACAGCCAGGGCAACTAAGGAGTGGCTCCGTAAGAAGCATCTCAAGGTCCTGGAGTGGCCTAGCTAGTCTCCAGACCTGAACCCAATAGAAAATCTTTGGAGGAAGCTGAAAGTCCATATTGCCCAGCGACAGCCCCGAAACCTGAAGGATCTGGAGAAGGTCTGTATGGAGGAGTGGGCCAAAATCCCTGCTGCAGTGTGTGCAAACCTGGTCAAGACCTACAGGAAACGTATGATCTCTGTAATTGCAAACAAAGGTTTCTGTACCAAATATTAAGTTCTGCTTTTCTGATGTATCAAATACTTATGTCATGTAATAAAATGCAAATGAATTACTTAAAAATCATATAATGTGATTTTCTGGATTTTTGTTTTAGATTCCGTCTCTCACAGTTGAAGTGTACCTATGATAAAAATTACAGACCTCTACATGCTTTGTAAGTAGGAAAACCTGCAAAATCGGCAGTGTATCAAATACTTGTTCTCCCCACTGTAGCTACTTGCGTTGTTGCTGTGCAACCCATGTGCTTTGGTCCGGTTTTTAAACTCTGAGATTCAGCTACAAAAAGGTAGCACATCGTTGGTTCTTAATGGGACAGAAATGAGCACGTGAGAGCGATAAATTATAAATGTAATCGAAACTGTTGCCCCTACAAATGTATTCAGTCAGAAATGTGGCAAGTCTAATGGTCACTCTATGGACGCTGTAGTCTGGTTGTTATCCGATGCCTAGATTTTGAGCTAGGTCGGGGCAAGACATTCTATATTTTTCCTAATGCTAAAGACCCTGTTCAAAATCCGGTATCTGGTTCTCGTTAACTACCGGACAGCTCATGACGAGAGGCGAGGAATGTGTTGTGTACCTCCAATCAAGTTGATTTAGACATTTTCATCGACATTGGTGTCATATTGGCATATTAGAGATGATGGTAGGGAGATTTGAATTTAACATTGAGCTTTAACCAATGCATATTGCCCCTCATAATAATATTTATTTTCTAGTGATTATTGTTAATGTTGTGAGCATTTATATAGTTTTTACTAGCTGCAGTATGACAAACTAAGTTCCCTTGGGGATGAATACAGGACAGTCTCCTCTCACCTTGCCCAGGGACCACATTAGAGCCCCATAGATTCTCATCAGCTGTTGTGTTCCCACCATGTCAGCCTTGTTCAGGACGACACGCAGCTTGTCCTCATTGCCCCGCAGCGATCCGATGGCCTCAGAGAACTCGTCACTGATCTCCAACTTGTGGGCGTCGAACAGCAGGATGATGCGGTCAACGCGCTCCGCAAACCAACGCAGCACCGCTGGGAAGTCATAGCCTGAGGAGGGGTTAAGGGGTTAGAGATCAGGGGTCAGGGGTCAGGGAGAGACGGGACACGAGGGGTCTGTCAGATTATTAATAGATTACAGTGAAAAGGAGATGAGGGTCTTACATTTCTAGATTTGCAACACGCTGAGCACAAAACACACGCTTAACATGTTGAAGCACTCACATGAAGCTGGTTTTAGAGCACATCATGGACACACACTGACATTTATCATTGACACGCACACAGACACACACACACACACACAGACACACACACAGACAGACACACAGACAGACACACACACAGACAGACATACACACACACAACGACTCCACCCAGACAACCACACAACGGGGAAAAGGGGGAATATGGCAACAGGAAAGGGGAATATGGCAACCAGAGGAAAGGGGAAATATGGCACCGGGGAAAAGGGGGGAATAGGCAAAAAGGGAAAGGGAATTTGGGCAGACAGGGGAAAAGGGAAATAGGGCAACAGAAAAAGGGGGAATAGGGCAAAAAAGGGGAAAGGGGGGAATATAAGCCAAGGAAAGGGAAAGGGAAAGCCAAGGAAGGGGAATTAAACCCAGGGGAAAAGGGGGAAATTGGCAGCCAAGGGGGGGGAAATATGCAGACGAGGAAAGGGAATATGGCAACAGGGGAAAAGGGGAAATGGCAACAAAAAGGGGGAATATGGCAACGGGGAAGGGGGGAATGGGGCAGACAGGAAAAAGGGGGAATAGGCAGACAGAGGAAAGGGGAAATATGGCAAAAGGGGAAAGGGGGGATAGGGCAGCCAAGAAAGGAAAGGCAGCCAGAGGAAAGGGGAATATGGCAGCCAGAGAAAAGGGGAATATGGCAGCCAGAGGAAAGGGGAATATGGCAGACAGAGGAAAGGGGAATATGGCAGACAGAGGAAAGGGGAATGGCACAAGGGGAAAAGGGAATTGGGCAGACAGGGGAAAAGGGGGAAAGGGCCCGACAAAAAAGGGGAATATGGCACCCAAAAGGAAGGGAATAGGAACGGGGAAAGGGGAATATGGCAGACAGAGGAAAGGGGAATAGGCAACAAGAAAGGGAATATGGCAAAGGGAAAAGGGGAATATGGCGACGAGAAGGGGAAATATGGAAAACGGAAAAGGGAAATTTGGGCGAAAAGGGGAAAGGGGAAATGGCAACAGAGGAAAGGGAATTTTGCGACAGAAAAAGGGGGAATTGGACCGAGGAAAAGGGGAATATGGCAGACAGAGGAAGGGGGAATATGGCAGACGGGAAAGGGAATATGGCCCCCGGGGAAGGGGGAATATGGCAGACAAAAAAGGGGAATAGGGCAGAAAAGGGGAAAAAGGGGAATAGGCGACAGGGGAAAGGGGGAATTGGCAGACGGGGAAAAGGGGAATTGGGCCCGACAGGGAAAGGGGGAATATGGCAGCCAGAGAAAGGGGGAAATACAGCAGGGGAAGGGGGAATATCAGACAAAAAGGGGAATATGGCAGACAGGGAAAGGGAATTGGAACGAGGGGGATTGGCAGCCAAGGGGGGGAAAGGCGAAGGGGAAAAGGGGGAATATGGCAGACAGGGGGAAGGGGAAATGGCGACAGAGAAAGGGGATATGGCGCCAGAGGAAGGGGGAATAGGGCACCAGGGAAAGGGGAAATTTGGCACGGGGAAAAGGGGGAAATTGGCAGCACCCCCTAAAACAACCTCTCTAACATTCTTTTTCCCTCTTTTTTTCTGTCCTCTTTTTCCTTCCATAGCCCCCTTTTTTCCCACTTCCTTCTACTAGCTGATGCTTTTTCCTTCTACTCTGCCATACATGCGTTACAATGGGACTAACAGGACCTTGAGCAGAGAGCTCCCTAACGATGGGTTTTGGTTTAAATACCATCATAACACTGGAGGCAATGGCATACCCTCATATGTTCCACAAGGCTTTGTCTCTTTTTGTTTTTCCAACTTCACACTTAATTTGTTTTAGTTTTTCATTGCCCCTAACTGTAACGTATTTGGGTTGGAATGGGGGGTTGGAAATGGAGGGGAAAAGGAGGGGTTGGAAAAGGAAGGGAAAGGAGGTTAAATGGAAGGAAATGGAGGGTTGGAAATGGAAGGAAATGGAGGGTTGGAAATGGAAGGGAAAAGGGGGGTTGGAAGGGAGAAAAAGGGGGGTTGGAAAAGGGGAAAAAGGAGGGTTGGAAAGGGGGGAAATGAGGGTTGGGGGGTTTGGGTTGGGAAAAGGAGGGTTGGAATAGGGTTTTGGGGGGGAAAAAATTTTGGGGTTTTTTTTGGGGTGGGGGTTTGGGGTTTTTATGGGGGAGGTTGGGTGAGAGAGAGATTGAGGGCTGCTTTTCTCAAAATCTGTCCCGTATTTATCTTGTGTTGCCTTACAAATTGGTGGGGGGAATTTAAGCTCTCCGGGGGGGCCCCTATATCCTTGCCCTTGGGGGGGTCCCACAAAAACGCATCTTTTGACCATGGGTAAAATATTACCATGGTAAAAAAATGTTAATTTTTTAGATAAACCTCTAAGAAAACCCGGGCCAAACCCCCATGTCTCACCTAATCCCTTCAACCTCATGTCTCTATCCTAATCCTCCAAAACCCCAGCTCTACCTAATCCTCCAACCTCATTTCTCTATCCTAACCCTCCAAAACCCCATGTCTCTATCCTAAACGTCCAAAACCCCATGTCTCTATCCTAGCCGGGCCCAAAACCCCATGTCTTACCAAACCGTTCAACCCCAGTCTCATCCTAGCGGTCCAAACCTCATGTCCCCTATCCTAATCCCTCCAAAACCCCATTCTCTACCAAACCCCAAACCTCATGTCTCTATCCTAGCCGGTCCAAACCTCATGTCTCTATCCTAATCCGTCCAAACCTCATGTCTCTATCCTAATCCGTCCAAACCTCATGTCTCTATCCTAGCCGGTCCAAACCTCATGTCTCTATCCTAGCCGGTCCAAACCTCATGTCTCTATCCTAATCCGTCCAAACCTCATGTCTCTATCCTATCCGTCCAAACCTCATGTCTCTATCCTAGCCGGTCCAAACCTCATGTCTCTATCCTATGCCGGTCCAAACCTCATGTCGTCTATCCCTAATCCCCAACCCATGTCTCTATCCAATCCGGTCCAAACCTCATGTCTCTATCCTAAGCCGTCCAAACCTCATGTCTCTATCCTAGCCGTCCAAACCTCATGTCTCTATCCTAATCCGTCCAAACCTCATGTCTCTATCCTAATCCGTCCAAACCTCATGTCTCTATCCTATCCGTCCAAACCTCATGTCTCTATCCTAATCCGTCCAAACCTCATGTCTCTATCCTAATCCGTCCAAACCTCATGTCTCTATCCACCGGGCCAAACTCATGTCTCTTCCTAGCCCTCCAAACCCATGTCTCATCCTAACCGTTCAAACCTCATGCTCTATCCAATCCTCCCAAACCTCATTCTTATCCTGCCGTCCAAACCTCTGTCCTTTTTCCTAGCCGGGCCAAACCTCAGTCCTACCCAATCCTCCAAAACCCCTTCCTACCTAACCGTCCCCAAAAATCAAAGCTCTATCCACCGGTCCAAAACCCTTTTTCCCATCCCAGCCGGTCCCAAAACCCCATTTTCCTTTCCTTTCCCTCCAAAACCCCAGTCTCTATCCTACCGGTCCAAAAAACCCTGTCTCTATCCAGCCGGTCCAAACCCCCATGTCTCTATCCTATCCGTCCCAAAACCCCATTTTTCTCTATCCTAATCCTTCAAACCTCATGCTCTATCCACCGGTCCAACCCCATGTCCCCTATCCTAGCCGTCCAAACCCCATGTCTCTATCCTACCGGTCCAAACCTCATTTTCTATCCTAATCCGTCCAAACCTCATGTCTCTATCCTAGCCGGTCCAAACCTCATGTCTCTATCCTAACCGTCCAAACCTCATGTCTCTATCCTAGCCGGTCCAAACCTCATGTCTCTATCCTAATCCGTTCAAACCTCATGTCTCTATCCTAATCCGTCCAAACCTCATGTCTCTATCCTAGCCGGTCCAAACCTCATGTCTCTATCCTAATCCGTTCAAACCTCATGTCTCTATCCTAGCCGGCCCTAACCTCATGTCTCTATCCTAGCCGGTCCAAACCTCATGTCTCTATCCTAGCCGGTCCAAACTTCATGTCTCTATCCTAGCCGGCCCTAACCTCATGTCTCTATCCTAGCCGGCCCTAACCTCATGTCTCTATCCTAGCCGGTCCAAACCTCATGTCTCCCCCCCTATGTCGCTAATCCTAGGCCGGTCCAAACCTCATGTCTCTATCCTAGCCGGTCCAAACCTCATGTCTCTATCCTAATCCGGTCCAAACCTCATGTCTCTATCCTAGCCGGTCCAAACCCAAAACCCCATTCTCTATCCTAACCCTCCAAAACCCCATGCTCTATCCTAAACCGTTCAAACCTCATGTCTCTATCCGCCGGTCCCAAACCCCATGTCCCCTAATCCTTTCCCCCCCTCAGTCTCTATCCTTCCCCTCCAAACCCCATTCCTATCCTGCCGGTCCAACCTCATTTTCTATCCTACCGGTCCAAACCTCATGTCTTATCCCCCAGCCGGCCCTAAAACCCCATGTCTCTATCCTAAACCGTCCAAACCTCATTCTTACCTAGCCGGTCCAAACCCATTCTCATCCTACCGGGCCCAAACCTCATGTCCCCTACCTAAACCGCCCCTCATGTCCTATCCTAGCCGGTCCAAACCCCATGTCTCTATCCAATCCGTCCAACCCCATTCTTTTATCCTACCGGGTCCAACCTCATGTCTCTATCCTAATCCTTCCAAAAATCTGTCTCTATCCTAATCCGCCAAACCTCATGTCCTATCCCAATCCGTCAAAATCGTCCAACGGCATCCATGTCTCTATCCTAGCCGGTCCAAATCTCATGTCTCTATCCTAATCCGTCCAAACCTCATGTCTCTATCCTAGCCGGTCCAAACCTCATGTCTCTATCCTAATCCGTTCAAACCTTATTGTAG